TACAGTAGAAGAAAACAACACTTTATTCATTGCTAACAAATTAACATTAATTCACTCACAAACACATTCAATACATCACGTTCTAATTTTGTAATAGTAATCTAATATTATTGGATGTAATACCGTGGTATAATTTATTATATTTACAACTGGTTTAGATTATGTTTTTTTAAACATTGTATTTTGTATACCTTTAAAGTACTGCCCGTCATAATAAAATATAATTAGCTATATTACAATAACATGCTTTTAATAGACACACCATAATTAATACAGTATTGTATTACTATTGTTAGTGTCATTATCATCATCATCATTATCGTCATCGGCATCACCTTCGTTGTAATTATTATTAGCTGAAATAGTATCATTTCATTATTTAAATATTCATAAAAGTATCTTTGTCCTCATAATATTATCATCACCATCTTCATTATTATAATCATCAATTTTATTATAATACATTTTTATAGGTCTATATTATTATTATTATTACATATTTCATTGGCGATAATTAAGTAGGCCTATTATGGTTATAAATTATTTCATGTACTTTTACGTTTGCGTAATATTTGTTAATTGATATTCTTGTGTTGTGCGTGTTCAACAAACTTGACGTTGATTATCATTTCATTGCAGCGTGGACGCACACCACTACATTGGTGTCTAGAGAATCGGAGGCTGACGCACGAGCAACACAAGGAAGTCGCAATTATCAATATCACCTTTGGCGCATCGGTGACAATAAAAGATATGGTAATGTACAGAAAAATGAAATGCATCAAAAGAATATCAGTCAATGACCTTAATACAACAACTGTATATGAAACTACTTGAAACATTTTTACTAATCAAAACCAACGTAATAAATATAAATTCATAAAACATTAAATCGATTAAAATGTTAGCGAATATGGTAATGATAATGATTTTTTAAGTATGATTTCAATAAATATTTTCCCCCCGATGTGATGTGATAGTAATTTACAACAATAGTTATAAAGTTGTAATGCTCATAGTGTTGATTATTTAAATTATTATTTACAATTTTATTATTATATCATTATGGTTTTTAAACCAAAATATATGGTACCACTGTTTTTTATTGATTTAATTTGCAACCGTCACCCATGCAATGAAACGAATCATCGCGTGCTCGTGTCTGCTATTGCAGTGGGGAAAGACGCCTCTTGATTTGTATCATGATAACGAATGTGATGAATACGAAGAAACCACGAAAACCAAGAAAAAGGAGGAGTTGAAAGAACTACTTAAAGGTACGATAATGGCCTGTTTAAACAACATTTAACAGACATATTACTCATTACATTTACTTTTTAATATAATTATACACTACTATATTATTTCAATTCAGTTGCATTTTGATTGAGAATTGTAAGAAATGTTAATCGTAATTAATTAAAATGTAATTTAGAAAGTGAATTAAATAAAAAGTATCAGTATAGAAGGACAACATACTAAATATCTGATTTTTATTTATTTTTTATTAATTAGAACTATCAATTCCGTCAGAGATTTTAGCCAGGGGTCCCGAAGCCGTCAAAGCATTTAAAGATGCACTTAAAACTGGTGAAATAACAGTTGTTAATTCAAGAATGATGTTTTTAGGTAACGAGGGTTCCGGAAAATCATCTTGTGTCAAAGCCATGCTTGGGAAAGAGTAAGTATAATCGGATGTATTAGGTTTTGTACTTTATATCGATTTACTTTGCTTGCTTTTTTTCAGTTGGTTTTTACATTACAGTGTACGTTCGTTTTCTACTCAACTTTTAACATGCACGCGCTAGTGTGCGCGTGTAAGGTAACTTTCCGTGGTAAAGTTGTTGCTAGGTGACGGGGTCGAGTGGCGGATGACACGGCTTTACTTTATTATGCAATTGGGATTTAATAGCAGCAACTGCGAAATTTATTGTTGTTTTTGCATTTCGAATATTAATCACCAGTTTGTACTGCAGGTAAGGATTTTTTTTTCTATAAGTTATATTCTAAATCCGTTTTGTTGGTTATAATTATTTGTTATTTTAGAAATGCTATAAACCAATCACTATAATTATAATTTTTGTTGTTGCTGACAAAATTATTATTCATTTCTATCGTGATGATGAAAAACTTTCATCATCATAGTTTTGATATGCATGAGCCGTCAACTGATGGTATTGTTACAACTACTGTCTTTCAAACTGATGGAGATTACAGCAAATGGGAGGAGCAGAAGGATGTAGACGGTATGATTTATAATACTAAACCTAAATTATGTGGTAATAATTAAAATCCTTTATTTGTGCTCATTAAATTTGGAAATAAAATATTTATTTGGTTTGGGC